TTTTCTGTAGTCAACAGGACCTTATCTTGGATTTAAGGTTTTTAGTTAAGGCTGAATATTTTGAGAAATGAGAGAAACTTATTTCATTAGGCTTTTCGTTTATTTATTTATTTATTTATTTTTAAATACAGCAGTCATTGGCATATGCACGTAGGGGCAAATTAAAGCTGCACCACCTCTTTTGTAAAACTGGACAAAGACCATAAAAAGTATGCACTGCCTTCTGCCTTTTTTAATGTTTATTCATTATTGTTATTTTATGTTTGATTATTTATTATTGATTTAATTTAATTATATATAGATATATATACATACACACATATATATATTCAATTTATAATTGTGCTAATTGCCAATACCTGTTGTGGTAAGATTGATAGATTATTGCCAGTTTTCCCATTTCACTGGCAGTTTCCAGTTAACAACATTAGTTTAGAGCACATGCTTCTTTTCTACAGAAATTAGGGTGTTCAGAGATTTACAGTGGATCACAAGTTCTCTTCCTAAAAGGATCTGCATTCCAAACAAAGTAAAAGCAGTTGGATGATATGAAATTGGTAGGGACAAGTGTATTCCATAAAGCTCAAGGACAAATTAAATGGGAGATCTTTTGGCAATTTCCAGCTGACTCTAAGTGCTTTTTTGTGGGATACAGATAGTGAACTTATCGTGATACCCTAGAAAGCTCCACAAATATGTAGTTTTACCACAGAGGACACACACTATTAAGTATTATTCTAAAGGTAATTCAACATGTAGATTAATTAATTGAGTTTCTGTAATTTTTGCTGCAATATGACAATACTGTCATGTGAGACAATGCCACTTTAGACACAGCTGTGCCTCCACAGTCTCCCATGATGTTTGTGGCAGGATGTTGGGGAGCCCTGCCTTGCAGAACCACACAAGTTGAACACACAAGAACCACACATATTTTTAGTGGGAGAAGCAAGAAAGTATAACTCAGGTTGGGACTTCAGTAATAGTTCAGTTTGTTCAGTTTATCCACTGAGGCCTCCAGCCCAGCCACAGAGCCTGTGAAGATTTCCACAGAGCCCTGAGGCCACAGCCATTGGGATCCATGCCAAACTGAAAGTGAAAAACTGGAGTTTATAGGTTCTAGGCATTCAGCTGGGCATGTGACACTGAATTCTTTACAGGAATACCACTGGAGTTGACAAATTTTTGACAAACTATGTGTAGCTTGCCTAGCAATAGAAAGCAAGAAGCAAGGTCAAATTTAGGTGGCCCATCTGGTGAAGGAATGGGAGACAAGGCACCCTTTAATCTTGGGACAGGGTATAGGGGAAAGTGTGATAAAATGTTTTAGGGGCAGTGGAAGTTAATCCTTTCATTAGGAACAGGCCAAGAGCCTGGCTAGGTGAATTTCTGTTTTTTAATCTCTTACGGTTCTAAGATCCTCTGGGCTCTGCACTAGGCGAGATGACTTGCTCCTAGATGTACCATTCAAACAAAGTTCTTTATTTATACACTTCATCTTCTTTTGCTGATATAATTTAAAAGCATGGATGACCTTGTCTATGCCCTTGCTTTGCCCCGCGAAATCTCTTCATTCAATCCTTGTCACTCATTCTCCACTCCTGATCTGCCCCACATCAGAATTCTAGTTTGGCACAAGATAATCCCCTGTGCTGAATTAAAGAACATCCCAAGTAATGCTCTGACAAGGGGGATACAAAATTTCTGTCACTATAGAACAAAGGAAGAGAAAAGAGACACAAGAACTGGGTGCTGAAGCAAGTACCAGTGAGTCAAAATTATGTCCAGATGTAAAGGCTGGCTCCCAGCTATGTAATTATAATTTATTAAAATGACAGCTACAGTGCTGCCTATCACAAAATGTGAGAAAATAATCCATTACCTAATAACGTCCTTATTACTTATCTGCATCAAGGGTAAAAATATGCTTTTAGTATTTTGAAAATTTCTGCAAAGCAAAGGCAAGCCTGTAAATCAACAGTGACAATTCAAACCCCTTGCATAGCTTGTCAAGAGTAAAGATGACCAAGACTGTAGGTCTTGGAGGAAGAATGACATCCTGATTATAATACACCAGGCAGACACCTGGAGGCTGAGCTTTTGTGTTCCCTCTTGAGCTCTGGGCCAACTGCAAGGCAGCAAACCCATGAACCTGTGGGTCTGATGCTGGTAGGAGCTCAGACTGACTGCATCAGTTTTACCAGTGCTTGCGGCTCAAGTTCCTAGTGACACAAGGTTCACACTTCTGTACTGAGCAAGAGCTGTTGCAATTAGTTGATTATAAAAGTATGTGAGAATGAGGAAAATATTTTCAGTGCATGATTAATTACCTTCTTGAGTAAAAGCAAAGCTGATACTTAGCGCTTCTAAGTCCTCAAGTCATTTACTTTGACAAGAAAGTAGAGGAGGGAATAAAGATATCAAAATAATCATTCTTAAATCAAATGACTGCTTCTCTTTGCCCTGAAGATGTTCCCAGTGAGATGACTTTTCAGGCTATGCTGTGCCTATCAGTATCTTGCACTACAAGATATTCCCTTTTCTGACCTTTTTTGCCCATTTTGATTCTTTCAGAGTTGCTTTGCAATTTCTATATTAATGTTTATGTTATGTTAATGTCATGTTAACTGTGTTAGGGTATATCTACACATCACACATGGGGATACGTAAGCTGTCAAGTGCCTCTGAAATCAGAAACACTGGAATTACAGCACAATATTTCACCAGATTAATACTCTAATGTTACAAGAAGCAAGTGACTAACAAGGTACTTGACATAGTGCCATGCAGAACCATATTGTGGTATTGATGTAAGATATATTTTTGATATTATACATCCTATGCCCAGTTGATACTTACCTGCTGTTAATATGCTTTCTACATCTGACTGTGCATTTTAATCAAAGGATTTTACATTAATTCCAGCTGGAAGGACCTCAGGAAGTCTCAGTAACTGCTGCTGAAATTACTCATTTATGTTATCTAGTACCAAAGGGCTTGAAACTTGGATGCCATGATCTAGATGGAATCTAATGAGTGTTGTGTAAAGGGGGAAAACCATTTCCCCTCAATCTACTGGCTATGCTTTTTTTTATTACATCCCAAATTACTTAACCCAAATAAATATTAGGGAAGAAAAATGAACCTCCCTTAACATTGAAAAGGCTGATGATTTTTAGCCTATTTTTATTCCTGCTGACAGATTATGTAATTTTCAGCTTATTTTTTCTCTTATATTTTTGGAACAGAATTCACACAAAAATGGTATTTTCTTCTCTATTCTGTCACTGTCTACAACAAATGTCCTTTTTTAGTTCATTGCTGTTGTTTTAAACTTAGGATTTGGGTAGTTCTTGGGATCACTGAAATTCAGTGCAGTTATTATTTGAATAAATTTGCTTGTCACTTCCAGAGCAGACTGCCATTTTCAGTTACTCAGCTAAGGTTCAACAATGACTACCTATGCAGTAGTGAGAAAGACAAGAATATGTTGGTGGGTAGGAGGAAAGCAGGATCTTAAACTTGGGTCTGTTATATCCTGCAGAGCACTCTGGTCACAGAACTTTTTGTTGTTTGGGCATATTCTCTTCCTCTGCTCTTTCCCTCTCCGTCTTCCCCAGCCTCAAATCCTGTGAAATAATTTTCTCAAAAAATTTATAGCTAGCTTAACTGATTAACGTTTATATCTCAGTGTTTTCTATTTTTTATTTTTTCCATCTGATATTTTGCAGAGAACTTCCAATTGGCTATTATATTCAAGAAAGTGAAAACTTAGAGTCCCAAGTGTCTAATTATCCATGGCATTATTACAATATTAATTCTAACAATCATATAATTTTGAAATTCAGCTGAGGTAATGCGAAAAGAACTCTAAATATCTGCATGGTCATGAAGTATTGAAAATTTTTCTGAGATAATTTGCGATTGTGAGGTATGGCTTTCCGGTGCTCCCTTTGCTTTTCTCTTATGAATGCAGAGGAGTGAAGTGTGGCCCTGAAAGTAGATTTTTTTTTTTTAATTTTATTTTTTTCCCTCAATAAACAGTTTTGGGCTAAAGAACAGTTTCTTCAAAACATTTTAAATGCAAGAAAAGACTGCATTAGGCTGTAATATGCAAAATGACATATGTTCTTGCTTGTCTTGATTTTTTCAGAACTGGCTAGTACTCACAGTTTCAGATTGATTTGGTAGGAGATTTTTATCTTTTCAAAGCTTTTTATGCATCCCACTCGCACGGGGCTCCACTCGATTAAGTAATAGGTTTTCCAATGCCATTTAAAACACACAATGGTGCCCCTGTACCTGCAGGTGGCACTAGGTAGGATTGCAGGTCCTCTGTCACATCTTCCTGCCCTCTCCCTGGATGTACCTGGACATCTCAAATGGCACTACATGCAGATATCAAAGCAAAGTAGAGCCCCAGCAAACATGAAAGTGAGCTATAATCCTCAATATCTGATTCTACCACGGTACTTATCATGCCTTGTACTCAGTGGTAACTTCAATACTATATGCCATCCAGCCAGTTAAAGAAATCAACCTTCCTGCACCTCTGTCTGACCAGCTTCCTTGCTTTCCAGTTGATTCTGTGGTGCCCTAACTGGACAGGTATAGTTGTGGGGTTTGCTGTGATCTCAGCTTTTATTTCAATTTCTTGAACTTCAACTGCATGCGAGTGAATGATTTGTTCACATATCTCTGGTCGTTGCTTCTTAGTATCTCTTTGGTATACAGGAGCAGGGAAAACCTACTTTGTAGGTGAATTCTGTTGTGCATGGGTGAAACAGTGCCTTAGAGGCTGGATAACCTTTGGGTTTGTCCAACACACAGCAGACAAACAGTGCCCCTGGAAACAACCTTGAGAGCCCCTTCAGCTTTAATCAGTGCAGCGATTAATTAGAAGTTGTCAGGTTTTAATTACCTTTTATTTCTTTTTATTTTTTATTTTTTACTTGGGGCAAATGTGGAAAAATAAAAGCTGAAAACCATGATTTACTTACTTATTGTGGACCCAGACTCAGGCCTGTTCAGGGAGCTGATGATAACAAAGCCGAAACCTTCATTCTCCTTGCGGTGGATCACGACATCGCTGGTTTGCAAGCTGTGAGAAGTAAAGCCCTCGGGGGGTGTAGCATTGCTGCTAGAGACAGCGTGATTGCTGTTGGCATAAGTTGCGTAGTCACTTCTTGGAGAACTGTGGTGCGTGGACACTGAGCCTGGGCTTCTGCCATTCTCTGGGCACGGTTCTCCTAAAATATAAATCATACCAGTATTACAGACTGGCTTGCTCAGTGGATCTCTGACTTACAGTATATTTGCTAATGCAACATAAATACACTTGACTGTCTATGGCCCGGACTACTGAAAGTATTAAGCTAGGAGCTGTAATAGATGCAGAGAGACAGGAATCTACACAATTATGCAAAGCTTTCAAGGGCAATCAGATAAAGCAAGCATGAACACTTGGTGCTAAGCTGTCTAACAGAAAGGAAACTAAGAAACAGTGACTATCTGGATTGCAAAAATGTTAGCAAGCACTATTCTCTTGTCTCCTGGTTGATCTGTCATCAAGAGGAAAATGTGACCATCTAATCCAATATAAAATTATTTGTGTTTGGATTAAAAGAATTTAAACAGGCAGCTAACATAGAGTAATTAGCATTAGCTGCATAATGTCTTTCTTACAAATTGATTAGCATGCTCAAAAGACATTTATGGAACAGAGCAGTTATACAAGGAAAAGTAATCACAAACAGTTTTTCCATGGATGCCATCACAGGAGCAGTGCTCATTTAAAGGTTTTGAAGATGCTCTTATGTGACGAGTTGGAAAGGGCAGAAGTAACAATGGGGGCCATCCACACTTTACTACTGCTTTATAATAGCAAGAATAGGGAGCAACTTAAATCTTGTGGGAATAAACACTTTTTTAGTACAAGCATTTGGGCAATTGGAAACAGTAAAGTAGTAAAGTTACACTTCCAGATGGGAAAAAAAAAAGAAAAAAAATATTCTTTGCAGATCTAAGTTTACACAAATCATTATTTATTGACATTTTAAATACAGAACTTTCAGATAAATGTAAGCAATTTTTCTCTTCACAATGACGAGAGTGTCTCTGCTGAACATGTGAAGAGTTTACGCATGCACGCATGCATCCTAGGAAGGGAGCTTGCAAATTAGACCTTCAGTGTGTATATGTTAATAAAATAAACAACATCCAAGCCTAGGCTGTTGCTTTCTCAGTCAGGTGTGTCCTTTAGGAGTCCTTGTGCAACTATGAAATAAAGTGATTAGAGAGAATAAAGAGGAAGAAAAACAAACAATTATTATACTCCTGCGTTAGAATTGAAAATCTCCACGAGTTATTGAACCAAATCTGCAACTAAATGCCATAGTCAGTGACAAGAGAGATCTCATTTTCTGGCTGTCGTGTTTCAGAAAGCTGGATACTGTTTGTGCCAGTATGGCTGCAACAGAAAGGAAATTATCTTACCCTGCAGAATGACCAAGAGCTGGCTTGACCATAAATGAATGCAACTGAATGCCGTTAAGTATAGTAAAAGAAAGATAAAGGAAAAAAAGCTTAAACAGCTATTCAATTGTCAATTTTGCAGTAGATATTCATCAGAAAAATTACATTTTGCTCCTGCCTGTGGAGAAATGGCATTTTAATCCTCATTGTTCTGAATACCACATTTTCTTAAACAAATTGTTTTCCAGAGCTTGCTAGAGGTGGCTATCGGTCCCAGGCTGGGGTGAGTGTCTGTGGAGCGGTGGTCCCACGCCAGGGCTGGGTAAAACATAGACACCAGCTGCCAGGAGCATGAGGGCAGCCTCGTTTCCCTCTGCTGCTCACATTCATGCTGAATTGATCTGGCCTGACATGCTAGTACAGCATTTTGCAGTTATGCCCCACATCACTCATTTTAAAATTCTCCCACAAAGCTCGTGTTGTAAGACACAAAATTAAAATCCTGTTCAGCTCCAGAAATGCTTAAACATTAATGAGTTACACGTGATACTCCCCAGTGTGGCACTCTCAGGGACTAAGAATAACTCCAGGTGTTTTACCAGCTTGCTCGATTTTGTGTGCCGGGGGACCAGTGTGTCTCATAGACCGTCGTACTTAACATGTAACAAGCAGCAGTGAGGGCTGACATCCCTTCAGTGCTGCCCCTCGCAGTTATTAATTGTGCCTACCGCCGGCAGAGCCGGGCAAGGCCCTAACTCGAAGCGCTCGGCGTATTACCTTGGTTATTGGCCATTTTCCTAGCGCTGGGGGAGCTGCGAGGGGGCGTCGCGCCGGGTGGAGGGGGCCCTTTCTGGCTGGAGGGCTCTGGAGTCGGTAATAGAAGAAAGTCAGTCCCGCAGGAGCGGAATGGAGGGGCTGCAATGGGGAAGGGGGCACTGCAGACACAGGGGGTGGTTTTGGGGTGGCTTTTTGGCAGGGGAGCAAAGGGGAGCAGCTCAGGCAGCGACAGTGGATCTAAGGCACGGGGAGGCTGACGAGAGGACAGGCTGGAAACAGGGATTTGCTCATTTCTGGTGTCTCAGCAAAGTGCACTAACCACACCAATCTTTAAAAGCTTATTAAAATACCTCTTTCCTTGTGTATGCAAAAATTTCAAGGGAACAGCAGCAGCTTCTCCCATTAAAACTTCAATAGATACTGCCATGCATTTTTCCAAGTTTGTGTGTTTTCCAGTAATTGCACCAGGCTAGTCTAAAGGTTTTATTTACTTTAGATCCTTCATATTATTTTAGGTTTATTTTCTGAACGTGTCTGCATGAAAGGAGGAACTGGTCCTGTTCCTAGCAGCCGTTTCTGCTGTACGGAGACTTTTCATCCAGCTGGCCTTGCAGTGCGTGTGTGGGGAGGAATCTCCAAATGACATCAGTGAGACCAGAAATGGGCTTTTAACACATACAAGAGTGAAATGAATCCTTGCCCTAAACAGTTAACAGTCTTTGAGAATTTCTCCAAATGCTTATTCACAGTCAGGTTTAACGGTTTTAACGTAAACATTTCAGCTTTAACAGTTTTAACTTAATGTAAACATTTTGTCCCAAAAGGAGACAAGAGGAGACAGCACAGAGCAGGACAGCATGGAACAAACCCAGAACACTCATGGTCACCACAGCAGGGCTGCCAATGTGATACCCACGTCTGAAGGAAGCAACACTCGGCTGTAGCACTTTTATCACAAAAACAAGAGACACATATTTACAGATAATTTTTTTTGAATTACAAAACCAAAAACAAACAAACAAACAACAACAACAACAACATTCAATTTGTCAGCACTTGTTTTTGCTGACAGCACTGAGCTCTGTTTTTCCCAGTCTTCTTCACTCACCTGTGGGTAGCACCTTTCTCCTCACAGTAAGATTCACCTGCCCATTTCGGGCAGCGTTATGCATAAGGTCAATCACATATCGGTGGGTTTTGCCGGCCACTGGAATCCCATCTACATACACCAGTTCATCACCAGGATGGAGACGACCGTCTCTGTCTGCTGAGCCCATCGCAATTACTGCTCCTATGAGGATCTAGGGTGGCAAAGGAACAAAACCCTGACATACATACTCTGAACACACAGACAATGTAGCCTCCCATTTTTCCCCATGAATGCTGTAGTGATTTTCCCTTTCTGTTGAAATTTAGTTTGTGACTCAGGGCAGGTGACAAGATCTGTGTGCATCTGAAAGCTGTGTTCCTGCTCTGTGGGTGTGATTGAAGATATTCTCTTACCTTTGGTGAGGAGGTAAAATCCCAATCTAAGGATTATCTACCTGATATATTCTAATCAAGGCATTTATCTGTAAGGGGCAATGACTTTAGACAGCCTACATTTTGCAGAAAACCTATACAGATTAATTCCATGTAAAGGTCCTCTTGACTTAAAATTAATTATTCATAGATTACTCACTGGTGCACAATGTAAGCACCTGGAGTAATACACTTGAGGTCAATGGACCCCTCTACAATGACCCCTCTACATAAAGTTTGCTTTGTGACTCTTTAGTGGGGAAAAAAAGGTGCTATATCAAATGCTATTACTCATAATGAATAATTGCACAGGTAGTAACTGATTAGCAAAATGGAAAAAAGTGCAAAAATGTCAGCTTACACTGCACAGATGTTGTTTTCCCAAATTGATATTTAAATGTAATTTGTATGGGATATATAAACTAGTAAAAAATCTGTTCAGAATCTTTTAATGACTTTCTTCAATTTCTATGCACATAAATTCACATAATTTATTAGAAAAAGACATATATATTTTCCCTCTGGAATAACTGGTAGAACAGTCAAGATTGATTCAAACAAAACCTGCTTTCTTTGAAAGAATATTAAAGCATTCATGGAGCGCGTTCCAAATTTTCTTTTCTCCCATTCAGTGTTAGAGTGAGCACAGAATGATGGATATGACACGCCGTGTGACAATCCGCTTTAAATAATAAAAGATAAAAGCCATCACATACTGCTTTTCATGAAGAACTGAAAGGCTAGATGTTGTAGCCATGCAGGTGGTCTTGTTTTTTTGTGGTCTCAGCTGCAGAGTTGGAAGCCCCCCAGCAGAGTGTTTAAATGAAACTCCCCACAAGGAGTCTGAAGAATTTTCCCCATTTTCACTCCTCCTTTTGGCTCACTTTTGCTTAGAAAATGTAGCAAAGAGAGAGCAAGATACAGCATTTTCCTGCTTCCTGGTGTTTCTGGGTTCCTGTTAAGCAGTACCAGACTGAGTTCCCAGAGATATTCTTTCAGATTCGCCATTCTGTTCTTCAAACACTGAAAGAATATGCCTCAAAGCTTTGGAAAATTCTTTGTACAAAATCCAGCTACGAAATATGTATTTATGCTCCTTCACTGGAGAGTAAAAGAGCTATCCAAAGCCAAGTTTAGCCAGACCTCCACAAAGTATTTATATTTTTGCATCTCATATGAGTAAGATTTTTTCGAGTTGTCTTGGAAAGAGATGTGTGGTAGCCTTCTTTAGCTTGTGAGACTGTAGGGGCTAACTTCCTCCTTTGGGCATTTGCAGTTTCTTTATAATTTATTCTAGGCTGCCAAAGTATTGAACAATTTGTGCATCTTTAAACTTTAATGAAACACAAAGGCTGCTCGCAGCAAGGTAGATCATCAGTATCTACTGCGAAGTGCAAAAACTCCTTCTAGTTTTGTCAAATTAAGTAATTATTGATGGTCTTTCCAATGTCCACAGTGGAATGTGATTGTGATACTCATCTCATTGATGGAATTGACTCTTGAACAAAACTGGCACAATCTAGGAAGACAGTAACAGAGCATAATCTGAAATCAAAGTCTGGATTTTATTAACTCATCTTTGTTAACCTCTGTTTTGATATTTAATTTATTTGTGACTCTTGCTAATTATTTGAATTTGTGTTTTGGTTTCATTATAACACAGTAGCTTCACAGGGACTTAGTAAAATTTAAGAAATAGACGTAAGAGGTGTAATTCATCTCACCTAGTTTTAAATGTCTGCAATGTCTAAATCCAAGCTAATCATCTGAACTCTTTCTTTGATCATTGCTAAAAACAGGAGCTCCTAATGTATGGTCTGCATTATTCTAACTCTTTGTTCTATGGATTTCTATTATGTCTTAAAAATGTCTGCTTCTTGACATTGAGCGTAAAAAGAATCTAGATAATACTTCCACATTTTGGGACAGCAATTTGAAATGCCTTGATAAACACAAGTCACTCCTTTGGAAAAGCAACTTTATGCCTAGAAATATGGAAAAATAGATTACTCCAACATCACTTTCTCCTTGTAAGGTCCAGGTAGCTGATATAACTAGAAGGAAAATATGTTACAGCCCCTTATAGTGTCAGTATAATTGATTTGAAAAACTTTATGTGGATTCTGCTTCTTTGAGAAACTTATTGCCTTACACTGAATAATCTATACTCCTTTTTAGGAACCAAACCACAAAGACAAAAGCCAGCAAAAGCTTCTTTTTGTTCTGTGTTACCTGACTGCACAGCAGGAGAGCTGAAACAAAAATTTCAAAGTGTCTCAGTTCTTGTTTCATAGGAAATGCAGGGATTTGGAGGACAGGCAGAAACTGCCTCTCCTTTTCTGGAGGTGAAAGGAATAAGAGTCTGTGGGTGGGCTGTCCATGGGGGAGCTGGGAAGCAGTAGAGGAGAGAAAACAGGTAAAAGCTCTTGTATTTTGAATACAAAATAGTTTTTTTTTTTTTTTTTTTAATATATATATATATTTATTTATTTTTAAAAGTAGAGTATGTCTGTCTTCTTTACTAGGGATGAAAGTGAGCAGAGGATCAAATAGGTGGGCAACAAAGAGGGAGTGAGAGTTGAGAAGGTCAGCACTGCACTATCTAATGCTAAGGCACCTTTTTGCTTTGTAGGCTCTTCAGCCTTATGCTAGGTTCTCCTTCATTCCTGGGGGCTTTGAGACATGGTCTTTGGGGAGACCTAAATCCTGTTAGACTGATATGTCTGGGGGAAAAGTACTTTTGTATTCACGAGACCTGAAATAGGGGCAGTGACCTTGAGGCTAAGTGCAGGCCGAGAGCAATTGTTCAGTAGGACAGTGAAGCATTTTAGGATGTGGTTCACAGAAGGCAGCATTTCAGTCCTGCTCTTCAAAAACAGCAAGGTGCTTATCTCTCCATATGGTATCCAGCTATGATTCTTTTTTGGACTTTAGACAGTAAAGCCAGGTGAGTCCTTTGCTGAAAAAAAAACAACACTAGAAAGAGTTGCTTCCTCTGTAAAAGTTCAGTGCATAATGCATATGACTGGGAGGCAAAGAACTAATTTCCAAATTCCCACTTTACTGTGTTTTTGAGCAGAGAATAGATACAGGTCTCTTGCATCTCAAGAAAATATTCCTAACCATCAGAGTATTAGATATTCTAAACCAGTTTTCTCTCCCTCTTTTAGGTTGAAATAATTCCATTCTATATAAATAATCATCTTCTAGATGAGGCATTTGAGCTGCACTTTTCCCCTTGAGAATGTTATAAACCTCCAAACTGCAGAGCCAATCAAACCCTCACTCCCAGTTGCTACCTAATTATCCATTTGTAATGAAAAAAGCACTGAAGAAGAGACCAAGAGAGACTTTCACAGACTACTGAGCATCCTGGTAGCCATGGGCACTTTCCTGGGAGGTGGGAAGTTCCACTAGATGCTACAGTCTAAAACAGGTAGAGATTTCCACATCTTCCATTGGTGTCAGCTATTTGCAGGATAAAATGGACTGTTTCCTCTAACTCTTAATAGATTTCCTTTTTGGTTTCATCGAGTAGACAATCTTTAGGAATGCATATTGACTGGGTTGGGTCATCCAGAAAAGAAAGGAAAAATGCTTTGTTGGAGAGTGTGAGGATGGCAGCTCAGTGGGATCAGTGGGACAAGATCCATGCCAGAAGCAAGATGCCAGAGGGACTTCAGGCATGCTGCAGGTGTAGATGATGAAAGTGCTTTGATACTGAAGTGCTTCTGTGCAGCTGCACCTTATTTAGCTTTGCAAATCCATTCCAAAATATTTAGTCTAACATAAGGTCTCTGTGTTTTAATGTGCACTTGTGAAATATCTTTTTTTTAGAATACAGTGTGTTTGTTAATTATTACAGGAGGCATCAGCAAGCTATTAATATTTATCGGTACTTTGACAGATGTTGACAATTTTAACATAGAGAAACTTCTTTGTTTCTCAGAACCACTGTGTTGGTTAATGTTAATGCTTGAATGACAACTGTGTTATTCTGTATGAATCTGAACACAGAATATATACATCTATCAACTACTTATATATTTCCTTGGAAGTAGTTCACCTGAAGCAACACAGGACTCAGAACATATAAGTTTTTGGGAATAAAATGTTATCAGTATCAATTTGGCATTAGTTCTCCCTAAAAAACCACAGTAACATCATCAAACTTATTCTGAAGGAGTATTAATTCTCCCTTCCCTTCCATAATTTTTGTATTTATATACATATATTTCACTATTTTGCCAAAACACACATTTCTTTTAAAAATTGTATGTATTTTTATTACTTTATTTTATTTTATTTTATTTTATTTTATTTTATTTTATTTTATTTTATTTTATTTTATTTTATATTTTTGCCTGTAATGAATCTTTGATGGTTTTACAGTCTGATATTTTAGCACTAGGATGTCTCCTTCCTGGTAGGTATACAGCTACCATTGTTATGTTGGATGCACCACATGATGTCATCTAACCTTGGAACATGCCTTACTGCTCCCTGGTGGAGCCTCCTACATTTCTTGAAATAAACTGCATCATCAATAGTATCTTTGAAATGTATGCATATACATAGACTGCCTACACTGTACATCCTTATGCATAGCCTTATGTAATTTGATTTTTAAAATCTACTGCTTAAAGTTAAAACAGTATTGGAAAGTCAGGATGAAAAGATGCTGGGCCACACCGCTGTAAAGGGTTGAGTGATACACCATATCAAACTTAATTCCTGTGATTCTAGCTTCATTGACTGTGCATCTTTCAGATGTCAACAGCCTGAGAACCCTGTCTTTGTATGGATGAACAAAAAAGCCATTTTACTTATAACCTTAACATGGTGTTCATTTGGGTTCAGCTATATAGTAATATTTTTCTGACCTTTACACAGATTTTAGCGTTCTAACAAATCATGAAAAAATTACTCACAGGCTGTCCAGGCTCATCTCCTCCAAGGATCCTGAAGCCAAAACCAGACTCCATTCTCCGAAGGTGAACATCCAACTCCTTGTAATCAGGACCTGGTGTAAAGGGAAATCTCACTGAGCAAAGCATTTTGGTTTTGCCTCGAGAATTTGCACCATCTTCCCATCTCCACCCCCCTGTCCCCCCCCCCCCCCTCCTTGTGTTCATTGCACATGACTAATGGCAGCCTGGTTAGAGCTGGTGGAAACAAATGGGACACAATGCGTTTTACACAGACAAGGAGGAGACACTTGAAAATGCAGGTGTCTTGGAAGATGATTATGTTCAGTAAAATAAACTAAACCCAAGCTACTACACATTCACAGGCGAACAGTACTGCAAAAGTCTTTCCAAAATAGAGGTTATAGAGGTGCCTTCTTCCTAAGACTGACTGCATAATATTTTTCTGTTCAGCCACCTCTGGCATTTAATCTGTGTTTTCCTTGCAGTTTGTTAAAACCTAAAGAAAATAAACTGAAATGGGAGATAAAGATACATAGAAAAAGTATCAGTCCAACTTACAAAAGATGAATAATCATTACAGGCCATTTTAGTTCCACGCACATATAAAACAGTATGTCTTTTTTATGTAATGTAGCTTTTAAGTATTCCACTTTCAGGTAATACCCTCAATAAAGAGTTTTCACAAAAGCTATCATTATAAGCCTCTGAGTCTTAAGGTTTAAACTGAAAGCTAACATCATTAACTTGAACTCCTTAATGCTACTCAATTAAGGTCTCAGCAGCTTTATGAATCATTAAAATTGTGCTTCCATATGACTGCATAATGTGCCTATAAACATATATTCTGTCCTGGAACATCTGAGTTCAGGAAAGTAGAATTTTTTAAACCTTTGTTTCATATAAAAGAATCTTTAGCTTCATTTGAAAGAGCTCCTTGTTTTGGGTTTTGATGCACTCAAAGAGCAAAAGAGAAATTTAAAGTAAAATTTTGAATAGTATAAAATGGAATAGTAAGCAGTTAAAGTAGTGGGAAATTGTTTTGAGTATTGCTTTGTTTGAAATACTTTGGGCTCATCAGCTAAAGTAGGACAGTTATGAACAAGAGTGGTCTTTTGTACAAATTGCACTCCAGTCTGTAAGTTGTCACACATTTAGGTGCACATTTAGACATTGTTGCCAACCCCAAAAGACAGAAAGGGATGGGAGGTGTATTTCTGTAAACTGTTTCTAAAGTCTCCAGTCATGTCTTGTTTCCTCAGGAGGGGAGAGACTACAGATGGTTGAAATACCATGCTTTGGCCACTCTCATTTATAGATCCCCCGACAGCATCCATCAGTGAACACCTCAAAAACTGCTGAGTTGGGCAGAACCCAGATCCAGTCTGGAAATAGAACTGTTTTAGTCTTGTCAGGTCATGCAAAAGCAGAGATGCAGAACTACATGCAGTGGCTCTATACTATGATCATGCCATAAAAATCCTCTCTAGACAGCAGCATGGTGCATTGTTGCGGCAAGGTGTATTGGTATGAGTGAGACAATCTGTCCCAAATGTTTTGGTTGGTAAAATGAAAGCATTACCTTTCCCTACAAACTTGCTTTTCACATACTTAGAAGAGAATACCAAAAAGATTCTAACAGCTTAGTGTTCTTTTTTTTTTTTTTTCCAATTCATTTGATGTGTCTAAACAGTGAATAAAAGAACACATGAAGTTTGTACAAGTACAGTATGTTAAACTAATGCAAATTTTGTTTAAAAGTCATGAGAGGCAAAGGAATTTTAGGATTAAAGTAATACTCTGCCCTTACTTGATTTGCTGTGCTGAAGTGTTACAAGGCTGCAGCTTAGTACTAGGGAGAGGATCTTGCAGATAGACACAGTAGGAACAACTTTTATGGCTAAATCTAACAGTCAAAGACACCGTTTCCAGTGGTTTAACACAAATCAAGCAGTACTTTTTTTTTTTTTTTTTTTTCCCCCCACACCTGAATGGATATGCAGTTGGGAATATATTAAGAAACATTAAGAAAGTATAAGAATGTCTGATTGTGAAGAATACACACTTTACCACGCTGAAACGAAGAATCCACTCAAACACATACATTTACAAAGCTGATCCAAACCAATGCTAGCACCAGATTCCAAAATAAGACGTATAAAGTTTTTAAAATGATGCTGTTTTTCTACCTGTTTAGAATGGACTAAGTGCTAGGCTGACCCTAAAGAGGCATGTGGGCATACATTTCTTTTCTATGAGCTCTAACACAGTTTGTGATTGACTATGGCCATCACCCTTTCTCAGAAGAGCCGTTGCTTCCAAAAAGGTGGAAAGTCTATAGAACACCTTCTCTGCCAACAGTTCCCAGTCCATTGATAGCTGCCTTTAAAAATTATGTTTTCTGTACCACCATGCAATTGAAACATGGGACTAGGGCCATCTAGTCCAGCTAGATTCCCTGTTATGCAGACTTCTGAAGCAAACAACACACAGACCTTACCAGGAAGCACATAAGCAAAGAAGACACTGCACACCTATGCCAGTTTATGGCTTTTGTTGCTAGGTCACCTGCCTCATCCAGTATTTTTACTGATGGATTTTACTAGCTTTTTCACTGTAATATATTATTATCTCCATAAACTGACTAATGTACTCAAGAACATTTCCTCCACTGGTTGTTTGAGCTCTCATGCTTGGTGTGACGACATGACTCTCCTGGCTGCACTGACCAGCTCTCCACTGGTCTGGAGACAGCTACACAATAGATACCTGAGGTTATGTGTCTGAGTGGGGACCTGATTCCCACCCTTCGTTTTTGTGCTTAGGTCATTAATGAAACACAGAAGACTTATTTCAAGGCTCACCACTAATATTATTCCTCCAATCTAGAAAATATTCTTCTAGTATAATTACTAGAACAATGGCTTTCTAGCTATTCCTTTTTATATTCTACGTCTTAAGTACTGTCTTCTCCAGGCTAATGTGGAGTACATCAATTATAACTGACATATAGTAAAATAAACATTTGTTGAATTCTAAATTTATTAAACACGCATCACTTGTTTGGGCAAAAAATCATTTACCAGCTTATTCTGACACAACCAGCCTTTTGCCAAATCCTTTTCATTAGGTCTCAATTTATCTCCATACTGGTAGATAGGTATTGTTTAATTGAAAATATACTCTAAAGACTTGATGATGAGATCCCCTTTTTCATTTTTTCTAAAGCTAGGTAAGTCAGTTGCTACTACACATTCTTATTACAGGAGCCCATGCTTGTTAGATTTACTAAAAATCCCTACTATAATGTGCCAGCAGTTTCAATATTCCTAGGTGTACATTGATCAAGTACTCTTACCTAGGTAAGTGATTGCATTTCATCTGATATTTCTTCAGTGCTTACTTTTCTATGATTCTGGTTCTTTTTCTCATCGCAAAGGATTGTTAGATAAACTAAATTTTATCTGTTCTTGCTGGAGCAGATTTTCAATTGATCATACTCACAAAGAAAATTACCTATACTTACAGTAAAATGACACTCCTGTGCCTTGTAATATACAACAAACTGTTGGTTAATATGAATTCATTATGGAAAATAGGCCTTTTTTTTTTTCCCCTTGGTAAGCTAGATTGGAACCTTGTGGATCATGCCAAGTAAGAAGCAATGAGCAGGTCTGCAGGCACAGGAGTCAAACCAAGGCTGAATTAGTATAGCTTTTTACACAGCTAGTCAATTCTAGCCAATGTAATTCACCTGAATTTCCCATCTCCTATCAGTTTCACTGAAAACAGAGTTTCAACTTAAAGTCAGTATTTCTGATTTCATAATACAGGTATCGTGCAAGAATGACAATGCTCCCTGTTATCCCTTACTTTTCTGCATGTGTATATTGGAAAAAGAACTTTTTGTTTCCTTGTTAGTAACTTCATTGCTTTTTTTATAGTTATAGCATTTTGTTTACTTTGTGTGTGTGTGTGCAAAAGAAAATTTTCTTAGAGCCATTTAGTCTATAAAAGACAAAGCCAAATCAGTTTGCTAGGTTATAAAACCAGCTGGCTCCCCGTGAATTCAAGAGTGACATTGGGCAAGCTGTGATATGATCATTGCTGCACAGTCAGGATGTTAAAGAGCATTGGGAAATTCTGCTTTTTGGTTCCTGGAAGACAGGGAATTTGCTTAAAATGTAAAGGCACTAGAATAGATTGCTACTGAACAATAGTGAGTTCTCAAAGGTGCAGATGTGATTATGAACACTCAGCTACATTTCTATACTGTATTCATCTGAATTCCAAGGTGAGTTACACCATGTACATGCAATTGTTTCTTAAAGGTATGTAGAGAAAATATATTCTTGAAGATGATTAATTCATTTTCTGTGTGAGTCAAGTCACACAAGTTCCAAGTGATTTTTATAGCTATAAAGCTGGTATTTGGAGTGATGCTTTTAGTGTTGAGAATGACTATTTATTTATTTATTTTTATTTTTTATTAAATCTCATCCATATTGCAATTAAAAGAAACATGAAGAGCTTTACTGTAATAATCTTACAGTCTTTCTGGTTGTACTCGACTTTCATTTTAAATGTCATACATTTCATCTTATTTATAAAGAGGAAAAGCTAGTAAATAAAGACTCCACTATAAAGATCATCCAAGTAAAAAATAAAAAATTATTCTAACCTACTCATCCTATAAACTCTGAAGGGTTTAAAAAAACAGCATAAAATCATATTTAATTTAGGAGCCTTGTTCAAGCTGTGTAAGACTAGAAAAGATTTTAATGGGATTTTAATGATTTTAATGTCAAAGCAACCTTTGTATGGGATGCCTTGTTTTAACTGTTCACTTAAGATCAGATCAGGAAATGACATATTACTATTTTTTAAACAGATTCATTGCCACTTTACAGGACAGATGTTGATTCATATACCACTAAAAGCTTTTATTTTTGAAAGCATTTGCTTTTAGTTTTTATTTCAGAACAAGATATATGTATGGGAGCAAGGAATGTCTGGGTCTGCGTAATGCATCAGTTCTGTTCTTTTGCAAATGAAGATGGATTTTTTTTCTTTTGTGTGTGCAAAATAATGCTTAGCTAAGTCTTCAGCATGAACTATGGAGAAATATTCTTATGTTATAAAGTGTACACTGACATATGAAAGCAGATGTAAAACATTGTAAAACATACACAAAGACTGGTGGAAGAAAAAGAAAAATACTTTTCCTTGCTCGAAATATAAACCTATTGTAAAAAAAAAAAAAAAAAAAAGAGAGAGAGAGAAAAAAAAGAAAAAAGAAAAAAAAGATTTAGAGTTAACATTCTATAACCCTGCAAAGCTCATACAAAAATAAAATGGTGACTTGGCAGCCATGACTGCCCGTATTCTAGAGAAGTGATTAAAGAAAGAAGAATTACTAAAACAGAAAATGAAGGACAATTAGTTTACAGGACAATGAAGGCTGAAGAATACTTGCCAGAGGAATCCACTCGAAAACCAGTCCTGGGCAGCACTTGTTCTGAATAGGAAAATGGGGAATCAAAGTTGAAATAAATTTCTCAATTTATTTAAAGATGCAGCATCACTTTCTCTGCTGTGTTTTGAATTACCAAAGGGTAATTTCCACTTCCTGTTGCACATATTTTTTTCTCTTCCCCCCCTTCCTGACTTCCTAAGCAGTGTATGTACATATTCCTGCTAGATGTAGACCTCCCCGTCCATTTCTATGCAGAGTAAAAGGGATAAAAAGATGGTAACGTTCCTTTAACAGAACATTGCTTATGATGAAGAAAAATTATTAATGCATTCTAAATTATGGACAATAGTGACAATATTTGTGCTTATTCAAGCACAGCAATAAAAGGAAAAGTTTAATGACTGTGTTTAGATGACTTGACCACTGCTTTTATTTAATTAAACTGCAAACATATACAGATACTTTACTGGTATTAGAGGTGTCAGGAACAAATCTATAGCTGAATTCCATTACACTTCTTTTGCTGATTTTTAAGTGCTGTAACTAAGAGCTTGTTTTATGATCCCTACAGCATCCAGAGTTGCAAAACATCCCAGACAAAAAGTAGGCATTGGCCTACTGACAGTAAATAGGTAAATAAAGCACTAGTATGTTCACATGAATCTAAACCAAAATATAATTTCCAGTCATATTTCATGTATAAAGTAATGAATAAGGTAAGATCTGTAACATCAGCATCTGTAGGACAAGGATTCAACAGCTGAGTGAATTTTATCTTCCTGAGACAGAAGATAGGACTAAGTAGATCATTCCAGATAGAAAGAGACCAGAGCATGCACTGGAGGGCAGCACTTTTAGCTGAGCCTTTGGATGTAGAGAGGGAGATGAGAAGACACTATGTCTTTTATGAACAACTCTTTATCACCTTGGCAGAATTTGGACTAACGATACCTGCCTGGTGCATTTCTTCATAAAGGTAGCATGGACTGCAGTGATAGCAACTGAGTAATTCATAGTTCACTTGAGTCAATACTGAATAAATGAAAAGACATTTCCCCCAAAATGAAGATGGAGGCTACTGAATGTCTTATGATTTTTTTTATTATTATTATTATTATTATTAATTATTTTTAGTTAGAGTTTCTACCATGCCATGATCTGCTCAAAATCACAAGACTGATATCCAGCCTACCTAAAATCTAAAATATGGTCTAAATACGGTCTAGGTACTCGAGTGCAGTACCTAGCAGTGGCTTCCAAGAGAAGATGAAGTTGCATCTAGTCCTCAGCTAGGCAGAATGCACATCATCTGTGCATATCCTGGCACCTTGTATTTGCCTAGAACAAACTGAACTGATAATTTTACCAAACGCTGACAGACTCTAGCAAGATCATTTTTATAAAAAGCTCTGAAGTACGTTTTATAGGAAGCTACCCGTTATGTATGGCAATTTGAAACTTTCAATTTCCCTACTATTAAATTCATTTTGGCATTTTCTAAAGTTTGACTGCATTAATCTCCCTGTATCCACCTCTCAGGAAATGTGGCAGCAGAAGGCATATTTGGAGAGTCCAGGATAAAGAGATCAGACTGCCCACTACCACTTCTGCCATGAACAGACCTTCAAAGTGCAGACAGAGGAAGAGTGTAGAGGATTCACTGGTATGAAAAGAGCATCCGAAGTGCCCTCCCTCTCTGTATCCTATATCTTTGACTTCTCCAAAAGTAAAGCAGTAAAGAGAAGAATTAATTATTTTTTGATAATAAGTCTCAAGAAATCACTATCAAGGCATCTGTACTGCCTGATTTTTTTCCTTTTTTTTTTTTTTTTTTTTTTGGTGGTTTTCATAGATGTTATCTCAATAGAATAAAAAAATCACAAAACTCTAGATAATTATCCATTTACCCAGCATCTGTGCAGGCTGAAACAGAAATCAAAACATTGCTGCAAGGAGTCTCCTATCTCTAGGTGATCCAGTTTTGGTAACTTCAGTTATTTCTGTGGCTAGCAGAAACCTCTGGTAGCATCCTACACACAGACGACATCTTTCCCAGTACAGATAAGTCTTTTCCTTTCTTCTGTCTTTCACAATGGCAACTGAATAGATGTGGGCTGCAGAGACCTTCATGCTGTTGCATGGAAAAGGTTGTACTTGGAAGGGCAAAAGTGGAGATGGTTCATTTGGGAGCAACTGTTTCAGCACCAGCAGCAGTTCCTCCAAATGCTATTTCACTGGTGATACTTCCCATGTTGGGTTAGATGACAATGCAAGAGGAAGCTCTGGATTGTGAAGCTATTTGCTGCTCGTACAATTATCTCCTGCTCTATCTGGTCAAAGACCAGATCCAGCCCATCTGCTCCCTGTTGGATCCACATGCTTTAACCTGTTCTTGAAAATTTCTGTTTACTGTGGCTCTCTAGGAAATCTCAGTCAGTATTTATAAAATACTCTTACATCTCGAGATTTTTATCTAATCTTTATCAAATCTACCTTGCTGCAGTTTTATCCCATTACTTCTTGACTGTGTAGACAAGCAGAACTTTTTTTTTTTTTTTTTTTTTTTTTTTTTTTTTTTTGCGGGGGGGTGTGCACAAATCCAGTTCTCTCAATAAATTGGATAAAATAAAATGAAGATCTTATCTGGGCTCAAACAGTAACTACTATGCCAATGATCTGTGAGATACCCTCTCTGTAACTGTTAAATAAGGAGAGAATTCATAATAAATAGGATGAGAGGCTGGCTTCTTGGTTTGTTCAATTCTAGTTTCCTTTCTTTAAGTAAAGCGCTTGATAGCTGTTTCCATCCTCTTTATTGTTGGTTACCTCTCCTGAACCAAATATCCCATATTCTTGTTATCCATCTGTTTGCAGGATGAGAAAACAAGGTTGCTAACTTGATAAGGTCTTGGCTAGGAAGGAAGATTTATAGTGCCTTTTATTGGACCAGCTGTTATACAGGGAAAAAAACAACGTGGTATTCGACTCAGGGTTCCCTCTGTCAGAAGTCTTTTCAGGGCTTCTTGGAACTTATTTCTAAACATTGTAATATAAAGAGAAATTTCTAGGAATTTCTAGACACTCAGAAGCAAGGAACAAAACAAACATAATATGAGCTTTCCTTACAACTAACTCCAAGTCATGAATACAGTTATATCATGAATTCTTACATTTCTTTGGGGGAACACAGATTACACACTGCTTCTTTGCAAAGATTTTCACACACATAAAATGTGTAGATATCCATATTTCTATCTGATCTCAGAGAAAACTCACATTTACCAGCCTACTTTCTGGGAATCTGTTAAAAGACTTATTTTATTTATAAGTATTTATTTTTTAAATAATGCAGTCAGATGCAACATGTGATGTGTGTTAGCATTTGCTGGCTGTAATCTCATCAAGCATGTCCGTCAGATCATTACCTGTGTTCTGATCATTAGCAAAATGAAAGAAGAAGAACCGGGGAATGGCTCTTTTGCTTAGTGGATGCAGCTGAAATACTCCTGAAGTTGCAAACTATGAAAATAAGGGCAGAGTTTAAACAAGTCTGTTTCAGTAAAGATAGGCATCTAAATAAGAACATTTGACAGTACAGTTTAGGGAAGTCACTTCTCATCTTTCTAACCAGTAATCAGTTCAATGTGTCAATAAAATAAAATAAATAATAATAATAATAATAATAAAAACCCCTTTTTTGATAGTAACTGTATTAAAAAACCGAAATATGAAATAGAAGAGGAATTGTTCCTTATGGGGAGAGCACCCTGAAAAATCCATGGGGGTGTAAGTGACATCCTAGTGTTTGAAAATAAATGAAAAATACCTACACTATGCTTCTTTAAATAACCTAGCTGACTCCTGTTATTGTGTTTGCTGGTGAAAAAAGTTTGGGAAGAAAAAGTGAATGGGAGAATTCTGATGGATAGGGACTAACTAGTTTCGTGATTACTGCATTGTGAATACAACTGTGTAGATCTAAATCTAAACTGGATTTCATGATGTCTTCAAGAGCTGAGGAATGTGAAGCTCTGATCTTTAACAGCTGGGGAGAAAGGCAGAAGGTTTTCCTGTTGATTTTACTGAGTCACCTGTCAAGCTCCTATCACCTATGAACAGAGCCGATGCATGGGCACAGACTGCCTGTCTCTTCTGTCGGATCATTTCCTCCTCAAGCTTGATAATGGAGCTATATCAGAATATGAAACCACATTTGCTATGTTAATCATCTTTGTACTCCTCCTCCCAGGAAGAACTTCATTAGCTCAGTCTGCTGAAGGTGTATGATTCTGGCTTGGGAATCATAGACTGACATATAACAGAAATAAATTTGAACTATGGGGACTACTATGGGAGCTCAAAGGCTCTTACTATATATCAAAATTTCCATATCAGGTAAATCAAAAGGTAGGCTTACTGCCAGAAGATAGGATAGTAAAAAACCTGCAGATCTGGCTTTATGATTAGTTTAAAATAAATTACACTCTATAAAAACATTTTAAGAAGTCATAGTTTTGAAAAAAAAAATTTGCAAAATGTTTATGAAAGTAAATAAACAATAAACAAGAGCTGGGACACAATCATGTCTGAACTGAACTGAAAATGATGTTTCAGCATCTCAGTCCTACCCATGAGAGAATTTTACACATTAACAGGATGAATATGATCATGTAACAATGTCCTCAACAAACATGGCAAGGAGTTGTTTGAAAGTGTCCACAGGCAATGCTGTTCCTGTTGCTCTCATGCCATGCTCAGCAGGAGATGATAACCTGTGACCAATTCTCCAATGCTTTCAAGTCAGTTTTCTTACTTAGATTATTACTTTGACATCTTAAGTACACCCTGTCACTTTGCAGATGAAAATCTATTTGTATACCTCTTAGTAAAATGCAAATTGCTTGAGAGAAAGGAATACTGCATCTTTAATACTACAATCGGTTGTAAAACTGACACTTCATATTAGCATAGGTCATTTGGGACCTGCTTTACAATCCAGCAATCAAAATCACTTTACATCCACAGTACTGCGATGATGATCTTCTTATAATTCCATTTGAAAATGTTTTAGGTTTCACTGTCAGTTCTTATAAGCAGAAAATCCATTTTGTCATGGCATATAAGTTCTTAGCCTTTTTCTGTATGCTGTTGCTTGAGGTAGAAAAATATGCAGGGAAAAAAACAACCTGTACTATTTAGAAATTACTTGGAGAAATTGCCTTGCTCATACTCTAGGTCAAGGACTAGTAAGATGATAAAACATAATAACTAGTAGTTTCCTAATAACCTCTTATTTACTAAGTGAAGGCAGGCATGTCTCACTGATATAAGAGACAGGAACTGGTGAACAGAAAGTTTTAAATATATGCAAAACTAAGCATAAGGAAGATTTGAAACTTGAATCTTCTTTTCTGGACTCTGTCCCAAAGCCTCTACCCATAGAAAAAAACCTACTTCATATTTCTGTAATATTTCAGATTGCTATGTATTTAACACTACCATAGTACCGAATATTACACTTCATAGTTTGCAGTTAAATACACACACACACAAACATATATATGTTTCCATATACCTTAAAAAATGTGAAACCTCTTAGACTGAAGATAAGGCTCCCTAAATTTTTGAGTTCAATTGTGTAGGCCTTCAGCCAACAAACAATGACTAGAAAATTGTGGTTTGCTGTAGGCTATGCCAAAGACCCATCAGGTGATAACACATTCAGTTCTATACACCTGATTGTTTTTTTGTTTGTTTCTTTAATGTCCTGTGAATATCATATTTAGGAAGCCCTGATGGCCTTAGTGTTTTTCTGTAAAAATAGCATTTTCAAAGTTACACAGTATTGATCAGAATAATGTTTCACAAATCTTGCTTGTTGCTGATGCTTTCTATTGTATATGTTCTGAATACCTGCAGTGATATTTTAGAGTAAAGGCATCCTGCGAATACGTATTAAAATGCCTGCCTGGTACCCTGATTCTGCATGAGAAAACAACCTTATTTCATGAAGGCCAATAATGCATGATGCTAATACATTAACTATTTACATGTTTCACAGCTGTTGGTGGACTTTGCCTTTTGGTTCTTTTTCAGTTTGTCTGGCAGAAGAAAAAAAATTACAATGCATAAGACAGATAGATGATGGATTTGAAATGAACTTGGGGAATTCACTGTGGTCAGGAGAGAAATTAACATGTGAGATTTTGAAGAAGGAACCTCTGTCCTTCCAGTAAAAGGTGGATCTGTAATTGTTCAGATTTCACTTTTAATGAGAGCTTATCACTAGCTTATCTCATTCTTCCTACTGGCATATCTGTATCACAGCACTGGTCCTGGACTACAATACTTATTGAAGGAGAAACATAACCTTACTGCTGTAAAGAAAGGTTTCATTTTGTTGTTTTCTTTAGAGGACCATAAAACCAAAATTCTATTACACGTTTTATAAAAGGAGAAATACTATGGCATTATGATTCTCAACAGCTCTGCGTCCCCTGTTTAAGTGATGTCTGCCTATCCAGACCTCTGAACAAAGTTGGTTTTAAACTGTGTGTTTAAAACAAATACTGTTCAAAAGAAAATATAAGGAGAATGTATAAAGGCAAAAATGCTAAATTCAGGAGAATGAGTTCTGTGGAGCTCCAGTTACACCTGTAACAACTGGTGCATAAGGACTCATAAATGTTCTTTAACAGGAAATTCCTGCTCTGATGTTTCATGTTAGAGCTTCTGTGCCTGACTTATCAGCAGAGTCACAATGCTGTCACATACAAGGACATATTTCTCTCATGAGAAAGAAGTCAAAGTATTTGCCTTTAAGACATCTAAAATGTGCAGTTGGATGGAAAAACGCAAAATAATCCAGTTATTTGAGCAGGTCTCCTCCTCAATTTCTGAATTTGGCAAAAAAGAATGTTTACAGCAGAAAGCTGCATAGGTTCTCTTTAATGGGGAGAAGAAATAAATTAAAACAAACAAAAAAGAAGGGATACAAACAAATAAGAAGAGATTTAGCTGCAGAAAGGAATGAGAAAGAAGAAAATAATTTCCCTTCTTTTAGGCAGCAATTTTGGAGGATGTGACATCATCAATCTTGGGAAACACTTTATGCTCCTGTTTGGCTACTTTGAGCTACTGTGTGCAGCTGATGGCAGGTGACAGGAGATGCAGGTGGCAGCTAAGAGGTGAGAGCTGACAGAGAACAGGTAATGGGTGACAAACAATTTTCCGAGGAGCTATGATTTACAAAATACAGTGGTACTGCACTTGTGTACTAATGCATCATTTGATTCATCTCAAACCTGTATTGGTAGAACTGCCTCTACAAAACCATTTTCAGTGCAGTAGCAGTAGTCTTTTGCAATTCATATGTGATTATTAAAAATTGAAATCTCCCTATTACACAAGGTCATGTAGGCCCTTCACATGCCTAGGGCAGAAAAACATTTCTGTAGAATGAAAATGATCCTCTTTTGTGGTGCTTTCATGCTTGGAGACCCTCTCTTGCTATCATTAGGTAGGGATGAGCATATCTAGCAAAAAAGCCTGTGAATCAGGCTCCTTGGATCTAGCTCTTGCTCTCAGCTCTGAGTCATGTCAATTGTGCTTCTCACACAACTATGCTGTGATGCTTAACATACTCGTTCCCTTGATGGGGAAGCAGGAGGCTTTGAAAAGGTCCTGGTGAGTGCCGACTGCAGTGAGATCTTCTGATAAAAGGTTCTGTAGAAATTCAGAACTACAGCAGTATGAAAAAGAACTGCTTAATAACAGTTTCACTGTGAGAGAAACAAAAAGCTAACACTACCTCTTTCGTTTAGAGTTTTCCAGGTCATGATTGTTCACTTCTTTGCACTATTTTTAGAAGACGAACCTCTTTCTTTTCAGGTCTTGCCAGAATATAAGGCAAACTTGCTTTGAGATAAGAACTACTTAAACCCAAAAGTAGCTGAACTTTTCCTGTACCCTTAAAGAGCATGTCTTCACCAAAGACAACCAGCCTGACACAGCCATATGGCAGGAAACTGAGTGTGCATTATCTTGAAACCTTCTCCCATGCACTCAATTTAGATGACAATTTTTTGACTTGGTAATGGACTTCCTGCCTGTTGTTTCTCTCACTTCAGGAAATGCTAGTACTATGTAGAGGAAAAACGAACAAACAAACAAAAAGCAATCAAAGGCATGAGGAACTGAATTTGTTAAAATGCGTGCTGATGACATGTATGAAAAAAAATGACAGTGACATCAAAGACGTTTGGAAGCGGTTATTTATGACCAAGGGACATGAACGAATGCAGAAGAGATCTGGTTGGGAAATGTTGAGTAAAGACTTAGAAGAAACGTCTGTATGATGTAAGAGTCAGAAGAGAACAGATTAAAGTTTTCAGGATTATCTGTAAAATCAGGATACTTGGAAATCTGAGGAGTGATTACTGCAGTCTTGCCTTATATCCCTCACTTTCTTGTTTTGGGCATAAGAGCTTCATGCTGTTAATTCTGATTTTGACTAGGTATATGTCTGAAGAAGGCTTGTGTACAACTTTCAGTTGCCTCTTGAACAGAACTCAAATGCAATTAGGTCTTTTAAACACAGGTTTTAGCATAATTCCATGATTCTATGATTTATCATGGACTAACTTCCCATTTGTACCTCCCATATCATGGATTGGGATAGTTTAAGTTTATCTCTATGTCACAGGGCTCAATTAATATAAAATGTTTTATCTGGACTAGTTGCAGTGCAATATTTTATGTGTAATTGATAAAATAATTTGGATTAGAGAATAAGGAATTTCTAAAATGAATTGAAACTGATACAAGTGAAAACAGCTATGAAAAAATCTCAGTTAAAGAAAAAACAACACACTATTTTGAAGCTTTGATCTTAATAAGCATTAAAACTCTGGACATTTTAGAATAACAGTTTTTAGCTAAAATGTTCTTTACAGTAAGAAATTAATTAATTAAACTTTTATTCTTATTGTGGAAGATATGTGGTATATTCCTTGGGGGTTGCAATTAAATGATCTTTAAGGTCCCTTCTAACCCAAACCATTCTATGATTCTGTGATTAAAAACACATAAAATCAAAATGGACATCTTGTTAGCTCAGTACTATTTTGAATAGATCCTCAAATAGTGCCTGTTAGGATTATAGGCTTCTTTCTAACTACCAAGGACAACATCATAATTTGTCAAAATAATTTTTATAAACACAAATGATATGGAAATTTATTTTATAAACTTCACTTCAAAGTAAAAGTAAGTGGAACAATTTTGTATTGATAATTTCACATCCTCAAATTGGTTAACTATGAAGAGAAGTAACATCAAAATATAGTAGCATGTATACTGTTCTTCACTAAGGATTTGGGTCAAAATGAGGAGAGCAGAAATAACAGGAAACAAACCTGTGAAAGTCAAACTTTAAAATATAGGAAGATCTAGAAAAATATGCAAGTGTAGATTTTTTGAATAATTTTTAGTGGCTTATGTTAACAGGGATTATAGTTGCTTTCTTTAAATTATAAAAGATAATTAAGGAAAACTGTGTTAACAACACCACAGTCATAGGCAAAAGCTTAAAATATTAAATGGCCAGCAGGATGAACAGGATTTTCACTTACGCCTACTTTCATAAATAGCTCTTGATTTCTCATACAGCTCATATGGGTCAGGTTTCCGTGGATCAAAGGCCTCTGTTGAATCGGGAAATGAACTCCTGTGAAGAGTGGGTGGATAGGGAATATTCTGTGGTAGAGCTGGAGCAGATAGGCTTGTTTGAGGGCTGCCTTGATTCTCCCATCGTTCCATCATCTGGAATAAAAAACATACAGACAAGAAAGGTGTTTTTCAAAAATGGTGACTGCTACAATCAGACTAAAGACAGTGATTTCAGTAAAAGGTAAAGTATTTTGTAAAATTAGCAAATCCCTTTGCTGTCTTTTAAGATAAATGATGAGTATTGTGCCGTTTATAAAATTATTTGTTCAAACTTGTTAATTTTTTGCTCATGGGAAGGTGTGATCTTTCTCAGATAATACCACTCTGTGTGGATTAGGACCCAACATTACCCTGCAGCATGTTGAGTGTCTCTTACAGAATACCCTGAGCTATTGGAAAGCATTCTGCTAAAGGCAAAATCTGTGCGACTGTGAAGCTATAGTTATCAGATTCATCAAAATATATAACTTAACATAGTGTTTAGCAAAGTGCCCAGACAGGATTGCAACTGAATGACCTTAATGTTGTATTTTTTCAGAATGCATGTAAACACCTGGCTGCAAAGGGAGAAAGAGGTAGATTACTGTCATTGCAAACAGAATTTACTTGAAGAAAAAGAACCAACAAAAACAAAATTATTAAAGTACCTATTTGAGCAACTAGTGATAGTTGAATATTGAATGATAAAATTCAGAAGAAGGTGAACATTAATCTGATGTAGACTTCTTCATTTCTTGCAGTTTCTTCCCATATCAAAAATTATATTGCTGTCATCCAGTCAAGCTCCCAAGCACAGGATAAGTTTTCTACTCTTCCAGACAATTTAGAGAGAAGTAAACAGCAGTGTATTAATTGTTCATGAAAGCTGCTTTAATCCAAATTTTCTCCAAGACTCCCTTTAGTGCTCTCTGAAGCACATCAATTTAGAAAGGAATATGCATTGCATAAAATAAGACATAGAGATATTGGGGATTTTTCTTTTTGAGAGAGTTGATCAAGTTAAATAAAACACAGATGTTTATCCCAGGAAATGAATATTTGACCTTGCCTGTGATCCCTGCTGAAGCAAAAGCTAGTAAAGCCTCCAGAAGTGTGCTCTCTCACATAGCCCATCAATCAGTTAATTCCACAAAAAATTACTCTCAGAACCAAACTGCACTGCAATTCAATATCACTGGCTTCTAGTATTGTATCAGCAGTATCTAATAAAAGTTGTTTGCAAGTCTACAGAAAATTTGCTCTGCAAATTCTGATTATCTTTCACATTCAGTTCCTTGGTTTCAGAAGGTACTTGGCTCATCAGGTGAGCTTTGCTCTCTGTTCTGATGATTAACAGCATCAGGCATTTTTTGTGTGGACTACAGATGCTTTAGAGTCCTTGTGGAAAATATGTTGAGCAACTATCACTGCACATCCCAGATGCACTGCATATCATACTTCAAAATAGATTTTATCCGTCTTCTGTTGTTAAGGACCTTATTCTTTATACCTCAAGCTACACTTTTGTCAGATTTTTTTTTTTTTTTTTTTTTTTTTTTTCAGTAAGTAGGGCTGGTTCATTGGAAACTGAAGAAAAGAAAGATCTAGATGTCTCAGTCAGTCACAGGATGACTCTCATGTGCTAGTATGTATTGGGTATGGTATTGAAGTTAACAAAGGGAAGTAGGGAAGTATTAATATTATGATGAAGATATGGAATATTGTATTCAATCCTCACTAATGTTATTCAAGAAAGACACATTTATAGTGGGTCAGATATAGAAGACAGTGACTAGGATGTCATATAAAAGGACATTAAGGGTGTGTATATCCTGCGCAGTGAAGTGCCATATGGAGATACCTGAGTTGTCATTGAAATAGCTTATGTACAGGAAGATACTTAATGTGCATTCAGGTACCCTTTGCAGTGCAATAAATTTATTCTGTATTAGCTTATGTGACAAGCCACATGAAAATCACAATAATACTTTCAATAGTGCTTCTAGCTCTGAAGGAATTACCTCAAGTACATATAAACATATATACAGCATATAATTGTATTATGGAAGCATAAATTCAAAGGTCTCCAGAAACAAACCTGATTATGACCCCTATGTCTAAGTGGGAAAGGAGAACTGGGATCAATACAAGCTCCTTATGATCAGGAAAAATAGTGGAGAAAAATATTTATGTTTTGCCTTCAGTAAGGAATCTAAAAAGAATAACAAGTTGACGAACCAAACTATTTATCTTGCCGCTGTGGAGCAGAAAGACATCTGGGGCCCTGTCTATCTAGAACTAAATATTTCCTAATTTCTTGGACTGTAGCAGAGAAATAGAACACTTACCTCTTTCAAAATGTGAAACTGAGTAAAAATGAAATATTTAAAGAAGATTTTAAAAAGAAAAAGGAAAAAGTAATTATCTTTAATGAACAAACTTCCTCCCTAAAGGAAGGATGAGAATATGGAGATCAATTAGCAAAGCTCTACTGGGTCCCATACATCTAATTCTTGTTTACTGGTCACCTCTAAATCTCTATGTATGAAATTAAAAACTGAGCAAAGTGTTCTTACCTGTGGGTAGCACTGCTAACACAAGGAGTTACATAAGCAGATAAAGACAAGGGGATTATGCCTCCCAAACCCATATTGGTTAATAAAATAGTCAAGAAGTGTTTTGCAATGTGAGTTATCACAATGCTTACTCGCCTATAAGGCACTCTTGGAAATGAATAAGCATGGTATTGTGTGCAGTGTATAAAATCTAAATTAGGTAATAGTTTGGTGACATTGCTCAAATTCAATTTGTGTTAATATTACATTACTGTTGAACAGTAATAATAGAACACGATATACATAGAAATCATAGGATTTCTGTCAGCCCAGATTAGTCTGGGATGCTGAGCACACAGACACAGGGTATACCACCTGTGAGCCTCTGCCCTGGGGAGAGGGGCTTATCTCTTCTCTTCCAGCCAATGGCCCATGGTCCCCTTTTTGCTCTAAAGGAGAGTGGTGGGTACTTCTCACCTCTCCAGCCAGAGGCGTGAGAGGGCAACAATAGTCACCCAAGCAGAGAAGCAGCTCAGTTTGGGGCCATCTGTTTTTTCTTGCCTGCTACAGGGTTGTGATGTGGCATCAGCAAGGCTTCATAGACCTCCTGGTGCTATCTTTACTGCTTCAGACTGCCTGCAGACAGTGCTTCAGTGACACTTGGCTTCAATCTTATCTTCACACTGTGACTGTTAGAAATTCATGTCTGATTATTTCTCTAGTTAAAGGGGTGAAGACAGAGGAATACATACTACCTTAAACTGTTTTATCACTGTGAGCTTTCATGCTGAGACTACACTAAATTAGACTAGTTGTGTACAGTTAACCCACATGCAGGTACAGTATCTGCACAAAGCGATGCTACCTTATTTTGTGGTCCCTACTCTGCTCAGACTGTTGCATGAAAAATTACATCAATCTGGTTGTTTCTCTAGATTCTGATTATTGGCAAGTGCTACCTGAATATGAACAACTATACAACTGTTTAGATTCCAAAACAGTGTAGATAATCATCAACATTATGCTTAACTTTATGTATTTGATATATATCTCAAGAGGGGCAGCACTGCCCGTGGAGATCTTTGGCTTCCAATCTATGACAAGTAAGTTCCAAGTTTCTTATTTCATCACTATTTGTATGAGATGAAAAGTGGAATGTCCCAGCCAGGTAAGAACCTTAATCTGGTGAGAATAGGCTAACCCTTAATAGATAGATTTATTTTCATGGGGTCTATAAACATCCTGCTACTTTGAAAAATAAACAAACTTATGCTGCTATACTGCTAATATATTGCATCCATCCTCTGGCATTTTACTCAAAAACACCACAAGCTGAAAGCCGTTTGATGAAATTGCATCAACTGAATAATTAATTTCCACTAGTGTTTGACAGGATACAAAAATCAATTTGGGTTGCAATAAGTGTGCCATTATCCAGTATGAGAGGATGTGAAGTTGTCCAGATTAAAACACCCTAATACAAAAAGAGGAAATCTTAAAAAATTAGCTTATATATATAAAAAAAAAAGTTAAAAAAATAGTGCTATTTTTATTCCTACTGGTTTTAGATACCTACAGGCAAAGTCAGGGCCCTCTTTTCCAGCAAAACGCCCCTGATGAGAGATAAGGAATACTGTAAGGTCTTTACAAGCTAAGAAAGAAAGAAAAAGAAAAAAAAAAAAGCACAAAATAAAATAAACAAAAAAAAAAAAATCCCCAAAGCCAGAAAACAGAAAGCCAAAAATAGTAGTCTATGATTTCTTTTCATGCTGAGAATGATGTCAAAACTTTAAAATAGGATATAATTTGGTGTCAACAAAATAAATACAGTAATTGTTTATAGTCATAGAATACAATAAATCTTAATACTTTGGGGGTTAAATGTCAAAATCATAGGTCTAATCCAACCTCTTACTTGAAACGGGACTATTGTTTCTAGATCTACTAATGTAGAAAAAAAACAAAAACAAACACAAAAAACACAAACACAGTTGCTCTCAAGATATTTAGATCAACGCACTTTTAAAACAGAAAATTTGCCTGTTATCTCTTGCAAAGAGATTGCCAACTAAACTGGTCTCAGTGCTTCCTTCTTCTGCAGGAACCTCATTTTTGAGTCACTGCCTTTTTAAATTCTTGCCACCCATCTTTAAGTTCCTTTCTCCAAACAGCTGTTGGCAGTCTCCAAGTGAATAGACCTTCAGAGCTTATTAACAAGGCCACCCCTGATGCTGTGTCTCACCTAGAGCTGGTGTACTGCTGAGAAGTGTCTTGTGAGCTGGGAACAGGCGGGTTAGATGAAAGTCTACAGAAATTTGCTTTGAATGATAGTCATCTTATGAATGCAAAGTGTATAATTTTGAAAGGGAACTTACAGGCTTTGGAGTTTTCCATGGAGAAAAGAAACCTGAAATAAACAAAAAATAACGTTAGCAGATTTTTCTGGTGCATAAACGGTGGAGGAGGCTCAGTGGTGTCTATGCTCCCATTCTCATTCAGGTGTGCCAATAATATTGACATATTAGAAAATTCTGTACACACAAGGGATGAAATCACAATCCACAGGGGATAAGTGCTAAGAAAAATATATGCAAGCATATATATATATGCATATATATATGTATGCATATGGAACCATTGAGATCGTTGCCATAATTTACAAACAGCATGGAATTAGGCTGAAATTAAAAGAATGAAACAGAAGGACTTCCAATTGCTTTGGTGAACATTGGATAAGACACCAAATGACCTGATTCTGATGTGTCAAATGCAATCACACCTTTAAGGAAAAGCAATTCAGAACATCCTCTTAACAAAACCTAATAATAAGAAGAGATTTATTATTATTATTATTATTATTATTAGAAGAAATGCCTGGAGAAAAAGAATTGTTTTATCAGTCTAGACAAGGTAGCAAAGTCTTGGGAGGATTGCTTGTTTTTGATACCGTTCTCTTTTGTTATAGTTAGCAAGTGGTCAGATGTCCATCTATTCTTAACAACTAGTTTAGTTTACTCCACTGGGAAATAGGACTGACTGATAACTTTAATCACTGCCTTAGTGAATTTAATGACTTTCAACTATTGCAACTTTCAGATATTTCAAGCTTTAGATATGTTATTTTTTAAAAAGGATATAATATGAAGCACTCATTGTAAACACTATTCATATCTTATGCAGCACAAAGTTCAAAAAGTTAAACATACAAAATATTAAATAAAAGCAAACATAAAAAGAATGTTGGCTCATGTTCAAAAAATGTTTTCAGCATAACTTTCTTAAAAAAAAAATAAAAAAAATTCTCATTTTTTCTTTATTAGTAGATAAAATCTTGTGAACCTTCCTAAGATTAAAAGCTAACCACAAAGATTTCCCTTTTGTCAGAAACAGAACTTAAATAGACGCTTCTAAGAGGAAAGCTGCTCTTTCATTCAAAAAATGAATTAAGCTGTAAGAGTAATATAAAAGTAATGAAGTTGATTTCATTATTTCTTTTTCCAAGGTGAGTCTAGGAAAATAATTAAAAGCACAAGGACACTAGGGAAAGTATCTCTCCACAGATAAATCACAATGTGAATTTTATTTTTACATAGTATTTAAGGTTCCTAGAATTCTGTGATAATGAGGTATTTTCTTTTTTTTTTTTTTTCTGCCATGATATCCAGTTCATTTAGGCTGTAAAAAGTCTTATAGCAAAAAAGCACTTGACTATTTTGTAGACAAACACTGGCTGTTTTATAACAACTGATAATGCTTTTAAATAAAAAACATATTGTGAAAAGTAATTCTGGAAAAAATTTTGTTTACTGACTGCCATGTCTGGATAAAAACTGCTGTATTAAAGACTAAGATTTCTTTCTGTCCGCAAATTCAAGCTGAGATAACAAGTACCTGATATAGATCTAGCTTGTGTATCACATCCAGATTCTGTAGTAGAAAGTTGCTTAATATCTTCTTGGATGGTAGAAAATCAGTTACCTTTTTCTTACCTTTTCTTGTTATTGTTCTGTATGGCTAATAATACTGAAAGTTAAAAAAATATTTTTCCTCTGAAAACTAAAAATAAGACTTGAAACTTGCATGGATGTTTCCCCAAAAGGTATCTCAAATTAGTTTACTACACTGATTTGGTGTTTGGGAAATACTGGTAGAGGCAACACTCCCTTCCCACTGGTATTGGTGCACCTTCCATAACTTATTGTAAGCAAATGTTACTCCAGGTCAAATTGAAATATATTTTCTTTTTCCTGTTTATTTACTGTCTCTACCTAAAAAAATATTTCTCTGGACTTATCAGAAACATTTACTATGAAGTAAAAATATAATAATTATTTATGAAACAAATTATCCAGTATTCACTCAAACAAGGACAACTCCAGCATGTTAGCCTGAAGACTAGGAACACAGACTGCAACATACAATTGACAACATCTACACTCAAAAGAAATAAAAACCAGTATTTATTCACACAGCATGAAATTATATTAACAAAACAAATGGGTATAGGATGCCACAGAGGCAGAAGATTCAAAGAAAAAATTTAAAAAGGCATTGGATATCCATTTATGTATAAATGCACATTGGGAGGCTAAAATCTCTAAAGATAACATACCTTGAAAATTATATTAAAACTCATTCTTCAGATACAAATTCAGATATTAGACCAAAGATCCATGTAAAATGAGACAGTCTCTTCATTTATGCCAAAGACTAGGTGCTAGACTAAATGGACCAAGATTTAGTTCCATAAAGTGAATGCTATTTTTGTCTTACATGTATTTCATGATATTTTCAGTTTTGCCTCATTTGCATGTCTCCTCAGATGAACTGCATATCTTTTTCCTAATATAGACAAAGTATGACTTTATCAGTTATTCAACATGAGACTGATTATGGATCATTCATGTGAACCATACATGTCCTGAATTATACTTGTTTAAATATATGTAGGCATTGCTGCAAATTCAACAACTCGAGTATAATGCATATATAGTACATTGTAACAGAAACTTCATGTGGAAAAGAATAAAAACAAAAATGCATTTTTATTTGGATGCTCCCTTCAATCTTTCACATTTTAGTATTGTTCTACAGAACTACTGGACTGAGTCCTATACATGTAGAAAAATAAGGCTTGAAAGTTTATCTGAAGGACATATCTTAATTATGTATATTTAGTCTATACTCAGTCTTCTGCAGCTACATTACAACTGTCAGAGAGAAGCAGTGGGCTTTCACTTAATTTGACCTCAATATTGCTTTTTCCCTTGGCTCATTCCTTGCTGTGAGATATGTCCACAAAAGACAGTGGAACCCTGCTTGTCTACAAAAGGCAGTGGGACAACACCTGGCAGACGGGTAGCAACGCTATTATTGATTTAAAGGCAGGACTGAAATTTGTTCTCCAGAGAGTACAGCTTTCAATTTCTGTTGAGTATTAATACAGTACTCATACTGCTTGACATTCTCATCAACTTGTATCTAAATGCACATGCCTACTGGATAAGCTCTTACAACCTCCTTACCCATTAAAAAAATTCTACTCCTCTCCCAAACTCCCAACCCTCTACTGTCCAGCTTCTTGTGATGCCTTCTATAAAATCCTGAATAGCTGAGAATATTATATATATATATATATACATATAAACACACGTACATACTCACATATACTTTAAAATTTCAAATAATAAAAGCCAACTTAGATCCACTGGAAAATACTTCATGCAGTTGATTCTTTCCATTAGTAGTTTTCTCACTCAGTAGTTAGCTTACTCATGTGCCATCATGTGCCATCCCTTCTCATAAAATCTTCCTTTTATAAACAGTGGCTCACTTTCTGAAAAGTCCCAATTTCTGTCTATTCATTTGAAATAAATCTTTATTTACACCCCTGCTAAAGGCAGCAGCACAGGTCTGAATTAGTTTCAGAATGAAGAGCCGGATTACTGGCTTCTGTCAAAGAGCAACCAGCACCACTCAGTCAGGCAGATGCTACCAGGAAAATACTACGGTCACCACTCAGTATAATATAATGTAATGAGAGGATAAAATATGTAATTTCAGATACTTCTCCAAAGTTAAAAAGTAATTTTCAGAAAGTAATGATTTATTTTTAAATGTTGGCCACTAAACTATACTATGGTACAGCAGCTGGTGGCCAGCATCTTAATAGGAATTATAATGGTTTAATTTTAAATAAATAAGGTACAGTAAAAATCAGAACCACATTTTCTTGTAAAACAGTGTGTAAAAATATTTTTGACATTGTTTTTTATTATATTTACCACCTTTCAAAATGAGCTTTCCTGGGAATCAGAGCTGTGACATTGTCTATGTTTTAACTTTACTAAGAAACACCACTAACAGAAAACACAAGTTGGATTATAATACATTTTGAAAAAAAAACACTATATTTTTTCCCAGATCAAGACAAATTCCGATTTCAATCTATTGTGTTTTGTATTTCTTTTTGATGAAGCAAGCTGTCCTATAAAAAATAACAAATAATTTCATACTCATTGTTTCTGTTTCTTATATACAAATTTACGTATGCTTTTGACAGGAAAGATTATTACAGATTTCACATGCCTTACATTTCAGCCAGTATTTTTTTTTTTATAAAGTTTGGTTTGCTAAAAGCAGCTTATCAAACAGGATTTAGAACATTTCAAGATAGAATCATAACTCTCTCTCCCCCTCTCTCTCTCCCCATAGTAAAAATACTAGATTTGGCATATTCCTTAATGTCAACAATACTAAACCAGCCTATGGTTATTAGTCTATTAGTTATTAGATTTTTTTTTTCCGCCTAAATATTCATCTCCATTCTTTTCCAGCCTAAGCTTCCTCACTATTTTGTATTAATTAATGGAAGCCTTATGCTCTTATAAAGTCACAGATAAACAACGTGTGCATTACATAACCACATGACCTTTTACAGTGTTCGTATCTGTGGCAGACATGTACATGTATGTACAATTAAACTAAAACCTGGGAACACCTTGATTTCTGCAGTGACAGTATGTGGCAGTGCTGCTGAGAGGAATTCAACAGAGTCAAAAATAAGACCTTTTCATCTAAAACAATATTCAGGGCATGTCATCTTCCCTCCACATCACTAGTCTCACTGATGATACAGCAAGAGTTTTGCTCATTAGATCTCATTGGGTTTATTGTTGTTTTATTTCTTTTTTCTTTTTTCTTTTGCGTGTGTATTATAAAAACCTTGCTGCATATGGATTCCTGAGCCAAGCTGTCCCAAGCGTTGCACAGACCTTTCTCACATAGATGTTATGAAGTCAATGAACAGATGTCTGCTATGCACTCCCAGAGCATTAACTGACTCCATAGGCATCTTATCAAAGTCCATGTGGCAACACTTTAGCCAAAAATTTCCATTCTAGACAA